CCGCCTGTCGCCACCTAACCCACGATCTGATCGGTCTGTGACTGGTCACAGACCGGATAAACGAGTGCGCTGCACTGCGTTACATGCGGCGTGACGCGCTCGTCCAAACCGCAATAAATGTGGTTAGGTGAGCCCCGCTATGCTCACCTTCCCCATATACGCGGCGCAAAACCCACAAGGGGTCGGGGCGCCTCGGCCCTCGGGGCCGAGACGGGAGCGGTCCGACCCCTCGGGGAGACAAAGAGAAGGGCGGCCGTATCACCCTCGGGCCCGACCCCCCCGAGGGGGTTAGGCCACGTGGGTGATCGTGTCTGCCTCAAGTCTCTAAGTCATGATACTCCCGGTCCCATGTCACCGACAATTATGCATCTAGATGGGTTTTATTTTTTTTAAGAAAAAAGTTTGATTGAATTATATATTTTCAGAAATTAGACATAAATCCACATATCAGGATGTACACAGTTACATTAATAACATATCGATTAATCGTTCTATACAAATTCTAGAGTAAATATCATGTTTTTAGACCACTAATCTGCTGCTACCTAGAGCTTAAACAAGGCTTAGTATTACCTCACCTAGGCATATGTTTTAACTTGATCAAGATACATGGCTTACCTCGATTTTCATTGCATGCTTTTTAAATTATTAAACATTACATTCTGTATGAAAACTTTATATATATATATATATATATATATATATATATATATATATATATATATATATATATATATATATATAAAATATGAATTTAAGTTGTTTTAAAACGAAAGATAAAATTATTCGTTAAGAGTATAATAATTAAAACTCAATTAATCATATATGCTAATGATTTTTTTCGTGTTTTATCTTTTATGTTTAGTGAGTACTCCCTCCGTATGCTAATGATTTTTTTCGTGTTTTATCTTTTATGTTTAGTGAGTACTCACTCCGTCCAAAAAAACAACTTAGTATTCGATGGGATGTTTTATAGTCCAATGAGTCTGTTTAGATTCGTTGGACTATAAGAGCAAGTATAATAGTAGGCTATAAGCCAGCTAAATGCTGAGATATAGGAGAGAAGAGAGGAGAGAGGAGAAACGGGCTGTAAACTAATAACCGGCTTAGACACAAGAACAAAAAAAAACTCTGTGAGAGAGACAAGTGGGCCATGTATCAATTGTAAAGAGCTAACTATTTATATGAGTAGGCTAAGAGAAGGCTATAAAGAACCTTATAGTCAACAGGTCGGCTGTATTATTAGCCTTGCTCTAAAACATCACATCTAATACATTGGTTTTTAAAGAGAGTAGAAACAAAAGCCAAAGCCACCTGGGTCCTGGGAGGCGTTGTTGCGTATATGAACCGCAAAGAAAGGAACCACGTCAGCTGGTCTAGTGGTCTCCCTGTCCTCCAAAAACCAAACCCTATGATCACGCGACACGCCATGATCTGATCCAGCTCCCAGACGTTACTAGCTCGTCGTCGACGTCGTCTCTGCAGATGTACGTGTCTAATTAAACACACACACACACACAAATTACGCTTTATTAGCGTATTAAAGCCTCTGATTAACGGTGATTAATTAGCTAAGGATTGTAGTCCACACAAGCTCATCTCTCATGATCATGACCCCACACCATGGGAATCTTTTAACGGGCGACGATCGGAGCCACGAGCGCTCCGGTGCCTAACTCCCTAAAATCATTTTTCTAGTTAATCGCATGGTCTCCATCGGCCATCGCATGCTGTCACCTCTCCTACCCTCACAAATATAAAAATGCCAACAAAAGGTTGATCAGATTCTTTTTTTTCCTTTTTTCTTTTTGCGTCCCATGCCATGACCATGAGAAGATTTCTTACTGTAGCATGTGTAAAAAAATCATATACTACTCCATCCCAAATGAATTGTATTTATAGTATTTAGAATTTGTCTTAAAATAATTGTCGCTACAGAGTATTAACTGTTCTATCAATCACTCCTCATTTAAATTTTTATCCTATATATTCTACCCTTAGTTACTTTCCTACTCTCACGTAATATGTCATTTAATGAGAGACATTATAGTTTTCTTCTCAAATCTTAATATATGCTAAACAATCTACAATTACAATTATTATGATACGGAAATGGTACTATATATATGAACCATGTATCATTTAGGACTAGTTTTTGTCCTACCAATTCTTTGTTAGTAGTACTTTTAAACAGTGTTTCTAGATATTGGATTGGTGCCCATTTTTACTAGCTCCATCTGTTAGGTAGTAGCAAATTTGTCCTACCAAATTTAATGGTGCCAAAAGTTGATAGTGTCAAAAGTTGCTTAAAATTTGACACTATCAATATTTTGGTATGGCTCTAAACCAAACTGGCTGTGATTTGTTGTGTAACTGTGCTATTGAGATTGTTGTTCAAATCATTTTATATTATGTAAGAAAGATTGATCTTGACAAAAGAAGGATGGTCAGATCAATCAGGTGTGTCATCCTTGAAAAAATGTATATATAAATTAGGTGCATCATATGCTGATATGCATGTGGACCTGCATCACCAGAAAAGGAAATGCATCATTATCTAAACTAATCATCTAATAATCAGGATTTGGTCCATACATACAGAGCATGATGAAAAGAGAAGCTAGCTAATAGACAGATCAAATAGATCGATTTGACACTGGATAACATTTTCATAAGCAATAATTCAGTGGACATTCCATCACTCATGGCCCCATACAAACTAGAGATAGAGTGAACAGGAAAACAACATTATTCATACTAATTATGTCTATCTCTCTATCTCCCAATCCAAAAGCTCAAATTGGAGATTAATTAGAAAATTCCAAACCGAAAGAAACCAAGCAACTAGCTTAGGTAGAAACTTTTCCTTCAGGAGAGGTGAAAGAATATTTCTCTTTTGACCCCAAAAAAAGTAGAAAAAAAATCTGGCCTCTCTCTTCGAAGGCGACGAGGTTTTTGTGGACAAGGATCACTCTACGACTCCCCAACCAACGGCTCAGGTATGTCCATAATTTCATTAAGCACACAAGCTACTCCCTCCGTTTCGAAATATTTGACACCGTTGACTTTTTAGCATATGTTTGACCGTTCGTCTTATTTAAAAACTTTTGTGAAATATGTAAAATTATATGCCTACATAAAAATATATTTAACAATGAATTAATGATAGGAAAAGAATTAATAATTACTTAAATTTTTTGAATAAGACGAACGGTCAAACATATGCTAAAAAGTCAACGGCGTCAAATATTTTAAAACGGAGGGAGTAATTAACTAAGAATTATTTACCTGTCGTTTAACGGTGGCCGCTAGCTCGTCAGAAGAACAGATAATATATTTCGGGCATCACTCCAACATGGTTTTTTTTTTAGATAATCACTCCAACATGGTATAGAATAATACTCCTAGTGTCATGTGAAAAGTACACCTGAATGGTGGTTTATTCACAAGTGGTAATTGTTTTTTTTGTTAATTGGGATGGTTGGCGACGAGAAAGATCGGAATGGAAGGGGATTGGGTGGATATGTTAGAGAAATTTGTCATGTGTGTCATATTTTGTTAGATAGACACAAGGTTCAGTTTGATCTAGGGAAATGATCAGATCATGTTGCCCGGGAGTACATATTTTAGGTGTTAAAAGTTAGGAAAAGTCTATACGTACTCACTTTTTCTTACTAAATTTTTACTAACACTGACATATCATGCTATAAGTGTATCTAGATTTTTTTTATAACTTTCATCTACTTGAATTAAACGGTTGAGATGATTGTTAGTACAAATTTAGTAAGAAAAATTTAGTACGTGTAGCGGTGCTCTAAAAGTTACGTCAGTTAGATGAGGGATTAACTCTTGCGCCGACTGCCCATTGGTCAGCTTCCGTACGACAATTGTTCTGCGTATAATAGAAGATATAATTATACTTATTAGCTAAAATTTAAATTTTAAACCTTATATTTAGAAATTTTTTTAGGTTTTACTTCATCGTAGTTTATTTTTTAACCTTTACTTTTAGATTATTAAGAACACATATAAAAAAGTTTTATTCATAAATTATTTTTTATTTACAAATAAGTCGTTTTGCTTTTTTCTCTAATATGCCAAATGATGGGACTTTTAAATTTAGAACAATTTGTAGGGCATCATATTACTTGTGCTAATTGCAGCTGTTTTCCTTGTTGAGATAATGAGTTAAAACCCGATCTCTACTTTGTAAATGGATTACACGGCCAAAAGTTTATACAAGAGTGCTTAAGAGTTAAGACTCAACCCCTTACACGAAGAACATGTCTCAAACAAAAGTTAACCAACCAAAAAAAAAATACAAAGTTAAGTTTCTAATCTCCTCCCGATGTTCCTGTTGAAGAAACACTTTTTCTTTAACACAATGTCATCCTCCAATTTAAGCAACATAGACCAAAACTGCGCCCAATGAATCTCCCTAAAAGTTACCTATATATTTTTTTTAAACAATAAAGTTTTAACACACCATTAAAAACCACATCGTTCCTGTTTGACCATATCGCTAGCCAACACTTGATATTTTACCTTAGGTTGAACACCATTATCCTTCCCTTGGCCAACACAGCTCCGAGAGTAAGCTACATAGAAGTTAGAATGTTACAATGTGATTATAATATTATAGTTATAGCTCAATTAAATATAGTTATACTCTAAGTTATATATGAAAAATAATTCAATAAAAAACTGTGACTTCAGCTGAGTTTAGTTCCAAAAAACTTTCATACACATACAAACTTCCAACTTTTCCGTCACATCGTTTTAATTTCAACCAAACTTTAAATTTTAGCGCGAAATAAACACACCTGAATCTTTAAAAAAAGAACTTTGTAAAAAAAAAACCATGTTGGAGTGGAGTATTTAGTAGTACAAACGAGCGGGAAAAGGTCAAAGTAAAATCCTACTAGTCGATGGGGGCGAGGAGAGGAGAGCGAGGCACAGCCACCACCAAAGCCGGTGGCCGCGGGTCCTCTTTAAATACAGGCCACACTCCCCTCGCACTCTCGACTCATTCCAATCCACATCGTCTCGCTCCCAACCAAACCTCCCCCCTCGCCGTCCGCGCGCGCGCCCGCGGTTTCCCCCGCTCGCCGCCGGTTTCCCCCGCTCGCCGCCGGTTTCCCCGAAGCGCGCCGCGCCCGCGCCTGCGCCCGCCGGTCGCCATCGCCATCTCGCCCTCGCGCGGAGACTGGTGTCCCTGTTTTGCTCTGTAGTATAAAGCCACGCAAACCCCCGCCAGGTGTTCGACCGAGTGACACAAGAGTCCAGCCTCTTGCAACCTGTAATGGAGGTCGGCAACGGCAAGTGCGGCGGTGGTGGCGCCGGGTGCGAGCTGTGCGGGGGCGTGGCCGCGGTGCACTGCGCCGCTGACTCCGCGTTTCTTTGCTTGGTATGTGACGACAAGGTGCACGGCGCCAACTTCCTCGCGTCCAGGCACCGCCGCCGCCGGTTGGGGGTTGAGGTGGTGGATGAGGAGGATGACGCCCGGTCCACGGCGTCGAGCTCGTGCGTGTCGACGGCGGACTCCGCGTCGTCCACGGCGGCGGCGGCGGCGGCGGTGGAGAGCGAGGACGTCAGGAGGAGGGGGCGGCGCGGGCGGCGTGCCCCGCGCGCGGAGGCGGTTCTGGAGGGGTGGGCGAAGCGGATGGGGTTGTCGTCGGGCGCGGCGCGCAGGCGCGCCGCCGCGGCCGGGGCGGCGCTCCGCGCGGTGGGCCGTGGCGTCGCCGCCTCCCGCGTCCCGATCCGCGTCGCGATGGCCGCCGCGCTCTGGTCGGAGGTCGCCTCCTCCTCCTCCCGTCGCCGCCGCCGCCCCGGCGCCGGACAGGCCGCGCTGCTCCGGCGGCTGGAGGCCAGCGCGCACGTGCCGGCGAGGCTGCTCCTGACGGTGGCGTCGTGGATGGCGCGCGCGTCGACGCCGCCCGCCGCCGAGGAGGGCTGGGCCGAGTGCTCCTGATCCGCCGCCGCCGCCGGCCACCGCACGACGAATCTTCCGGCCGCCTGAGATAGAAAGTACTAAAAATGCGAAACTTGTGGGCAATGATTGTTTGTTTGCTTCCTCCCTAATTAATTAAATTAATCTCAAATTCTTAATCACCATCAAGGACCCAAAAATCTTGTGGTTTAGGAAGGCCTCTCTTGTGGTTAACATCAAATCACAAGTCTAAATCCAAATGGATGGGACTCTAATTTTTCTGTGTAGTATTAGTATACAATGATGATAGTACAATTTGATTTGTTATTAATTGGTTATTAATTAAAGGTGATTTGATCAACTAGACTTTATGTGGTCAAGAATGTCTCCCTGTATTGTATAGTACCAACTACCAACTCGATATTTTTTTCCTTCCAATCTTTGCTAGTCCTGTCTTGTGTTTGGTGTTAGTTGGTATCTCAATGTACTGGGCTTACCACTTGTATGGACAGTATTGTTAGCACTAACAACAGTGTGTACCCCCCAGTCGTGTTAGCTTGAATGGGAAGAGCCAATGATCAAGGAATGCTGTCCTCATGTCTTGCCGATCGCTTTTGAGCCGATAGCACGTGCTACCTCCCTCCTAAAATATTACAACTCAATGGCTTATTTGGTTTGAGAGAATTTCAACCCATGAAAATAAAAAAAAGTGGAGAAATAGTAATACACGAACCCATTAATCCATAGAAATTTTTTTGAGTGGATGAATATTTTTATATATTTTCTCTCTACGACTTGTAAGAAAGGAACATTTTCATTTGATTTTCCTATATCTTATTCATACAAATCCCAAATGGTACTTGTAGAAACTAATCCATAAAAATTAAAATCCTTTACTTTATCTCCAAACCGAATAAACCCTAAGGCTACGTTCGTTCTGTCGTGTTGGAGAGAAATTTTTAGCGTACGTGAAACGAGAAAGATGACTAACACATGTTTAATTAAGCATTATTATTATAAATTTAAAAAATAAATTTATTTTATTTTCATAAATAACTTCTATATAGAAACTTTTGTAACAGACATATCATTTAGCATTTTAAAAAACATACTAACAAAAATCGAAATTGAAGTTTTAAGTTGAAAAAAAAACTAGGCCTAATACAAAATGAGACATACTCCCTCCGTTCCACAATGTAAGTCATTCTAGCATTTTTCACATTCATATCGGATATCTATTTAGATTCATTAACACCAATATAAATGTGGGAAATGCTAGAATGACTTACATTATGAAACGAAACGAATGAAGTATTTAACATGAGGAACAAGAGGGAGTGAAGCAGATAGGAAAAAAAAAAGGCCTCGTGGTGGCCTCTCGTAGCGATCGTACGCGAGACGGCGAGAGAGGCGGCTTCAACTGCGTACGCGCGTGAGTGAGCGACACGGTGAGCACGGCCACGCGGCCCAGCAGGAGGGAGCGTCGCACCTGACCTGGTCCCTCCCTCCCGCCCCCGGCGACCTTCAACTCCACCTAACTGCAACTTTTTAGTGCTATGGGCTTATTTGATTCTTTTACTGTGGGTGTGTTTTAGTTCACGCTAAAATTAAAAGTTCCGTTGAAATTAAAACGATGTGATGAAAAAGTTGAAAGTTTATGTCTGCAAGAAAGTTTTGATGTGATAGAAAAGTTAGAAGTTTAAAGAAAAAGTTTACAACTAAACTCGGCCTGTGTTTAGTTCCCTTCAACTTCCAACTTTCCTGTCACATCAAATGGAGTATTAAATGTAGAAAAAAAACCAATTGCACAATTTACATGTAAATTGCGAGACAAATCTTTTAAGCCTAATTACGCCATGATTTGACAATGTGGTGCTACAGTAAATATTTACTAATAACAGATTAATTAGGCTTAATAGATTCATCTCACACTTTGCAAACGAAATCTATAATTTATTTTGTTATTAGTCTACGTTTAATACTTCAAATATGTGTTCGTATATGTCAATTTTTTTTGCCAAAACAACTAGACTCGGCCTTTAGCCTACCAATTCATCGACAATGCCAAAGCAATATTAAAATATTAGTAAAGTAAAATTATTCAGCTAACATTTGGATTGGTACCAATATAAAAGTCAAATTCTCATAGTATAGTGAAGAAACTTCTAGAATATGATCAAATAAGATAAATAAGATAAGATAAGAGCACTACCAAACGTTTGACCTCAATCCAAACTAATACACATATTATACTTTTTTCTTAGTATTATGGGAAGAAGGTTAACCTTAACAAAGTTTTTTTTCAAGCTTCTTGTCCACTTTAAAGATTGGTAACTGAAAATCTAATTGTTCTAAAAAAAACTGAAAATATACTCCAGTAAGAAAAAAAACCATGTAAAATTCTCTCCATTACAGAGCCACATGGTAACTGCGGTAACATATGAGACGTTACATTTTTTTTTTCTTTTTGTGGCTGTAGTGAACAATGCCCAATTATGGTAGTAACACCCACTTTGTAAGGGCAACATGAGAATCTCTCGGCATCATATAGCATGCAACTATGTCTAGCATAATACTACCTCATTCCCTAAATGTTTGACGCCGTTGATTTTTTTAAACATATTTGACCGTTCGTCTTATTCAAAAACTTTTGTGAAATATGTAAAACTATATGTATACATAAAAATATATTTAACAATGAATCAAATGGTAGGAAAAGAATTAATAATTGCTTAAATTTTTTGAATAAGACGAATGGTCAAACATATTTTAAAAAGTCAACGGTGTCAAACATTTAGGGATGGAGGGAGTAATATTTAAGCCCTTTTCAAAATGCATGAATTTTACTGTTTTAGAGTTTTATAGCTTCGAATTTTACATAACTTTTAACCAATGGATATAGCCCGTTTTAAATAAAATAACCATAAGAAAAATAGACAAACATGCCGACAATTGTAAATATAGAGAGACAAAATAATTCTAAAATTTAACTTTGGTATAGAGTAACTGACTATGAGTGCTACATAGACGGTAAGTGTAAATGTACTGTAACTGAGCGTAATAACAAATTGGATATACAAGAACATAAAACTTGGTACAAAATCATACGAACGGAAAAGCAAAAGATAGAAGCCAAAAATCTATCGGAAGTAAAATAGCAAAATCGTTCAACTTTTATATGAACAAAAAGGAAAAAAAAAGTTACATATTCCAAGGCAGAAACTTACCAGTACTATACGAAAAAGGCCATTAATCTGGCCCTAAGCCCGGCCCATCTATCCACTTCGGGCCTCCCTGCCATCATCCACCCCGACCTCCGCCTCCGCCTCCGCCCGCCGCCGACGACTCTCCGACTCCCACTCCACCTCCAATCGAACCCCACCCGCCGCCGCCGCCGGAGGCGTCTACCCCTGCTCTCCTCCCCCGCGCGCCGCCGATCGAATCCGCAAGCCGCGATGGATTCCCTTCTTGCCAACTACGCCTCTTCCGACGACGAGGCCGACGAAACCCTACCCACTCCTCCCGCCGCCGCCGCGGCCCGACCGAAGCCGCCCTCCGGTGGCGGCATCTTCTCGTCGCTCCCGCAGCCCAAGTCGGCGCTCCTCTTCTCCTCCCTCCCGGCGCCCAAATCCGGGCCCGTCTTCTCCGCCATCCCGCCTCCCAAGTCCTCCTCCGGGAACCCTAAGCGGGTCGTGCAGTTCCGCCCGCCTCCGATCCGCCAGCCCACGGGCGAGAGCTCCGACGAGGAGGACGACGACGCCGAGAAGCGCCGCCCTAGCGAGGCCGAGCCGCGCCCGCCCGTATCCGCGGGCACGGGGCCTGTCTCTTCGTTCCTCCCGCCGCCCAAGCGCTCCCTCGGGCTCGGCGGTGGCGGCGCCGCCAGGAGGTCGGCCATAGACACCGCTGCGCCGGAGAGGTCGAATGTTGTCGCCGCTGGTCCATCGTCCTCGGCCGTCAACGCAATTGCCCCCGAAAGGCCTGATACTACCTCTGCCGATGATGAAGACGATGAATCGAATGGGAGCAGCGATGACGATGAGATGCCTGTGCCGGAGGAGCAGCAGGAGCAGCTCGCTGTTGATTCCGAAGCTGGACAGCAGCAGCAGAATCAGCAGCAAAGCTATGATGCTGGAGTTGGGAGCAGTAATGGACAGGAAGGCTACGCATGGGATCCAAATTACTACGCCAATTACGGTGCAAACTATGGCTGGGATCCGAGCGGCAATGTGAACTATGGGACTGAAGCGCAGTATGCGGCATATGGAGGAGAGCACGGTGGAGTGTATGGAAATACATACGGAGTAGAACATGGTGATGGATATGGGCATTCGACGGAAATGGCATATGGAGGGGGCTATGCTGGTGGGTACGAACATAATGCGGCTGCAGCGACAGCACCGCCAATCCAGCAGCCAATACTGCCACCGGAGGTTGGTAGGATTGGAGGGAAGAGAGGTAGGAGCGATATGCCGGCAGAGATTTTAGAGGTTAACCAGGCAGAGCTGATGAAGAACCGACCGAGGGAGGATAAGTCCAAGCTCACTGGGATGGCCTTCGGCCCTAGTTACCAGGTACCGAGTCAGCTTGTTATGATTTCTACTTAGCTTGCAGCATTATTGTTATGTTCGATTATTTTTCTGGCAAGTATCACATGTAGTACATAATAGGATGAGATTTCTAGAGTAGCTCACTCTCTTGCCAGTAACTGTAATCTTTTATCCATTACTATGACTGGTTAGAGCACCCGACACTGTAGTTATTCCTACAAATGGTTTGTTGGTACCAAGATAATTGGCTTATTGGTTAAGCGATACAGTAGTATTTATTTGACTTGCTTGTGATCAGTTTAGAATGCTGCAAGCTCCCAAGCAAGTATTTATTGGAGGACATAGGCAGAATCATGATACAGTGGTTCTTTCTTATTGTAATTTTGCAGTTCATTATGTCAGCCATATTATTGATTGCTGATAACCTCTGTAAGGACATAATTTGATAATTATGTTACTTATGGTTCATACAGCGTTTCTGTTGGTGGGTGCCTGGGTGGTGGCTTTATGCTATTTGCATGTACTATTAATAACATTTGATCTACTTTTATTTGGCCAGTGACTGTAGGCTAGATCTGGTTCTGTATAAAAGGTTTAAATTATAGTGGGTGGAAAGGGTATTAGGTTAACTTATGTACATATGGAACATATATCACAGCTTCCCAGTGTGAACTATAGGATTTCAGTTGGAAAGCAATAGGAGTGATGTTTTTTGCAGATCCAACATCCCTTATCAGTGACCAACAATCTTAGTTATTACTTCCTCCGTTTCACAATGTAAGTTATTCTAGCATTTTCCACATTCATATAGTTATATCTAGATTCATTAAGAACTATATGAATGTGGGAAATGCTAGAATGACTTACATTGTGAAACGGAGGGAGTAATTAACATTGAAATGATGGTGGAAAGGAAATTTGTCAAAAAAGATGGATTCTATAAGTTTCCAACATGATTAAAGTTGCAATTGCCATAAGGTGTTTATATGTCATCATGTCCACCGTTAGTTTGAAAAGATCTAAATTGTGAGTGAGCATCATGAGCTCATAAGTGATAAGATATCATTTTTGAAAAACCAAACCATATTTGCATCGCTAATTAAGTAAGGATCGTTCTAACCCAAGATTTCTATCTTGAACGCAGCCCGCCCCTTCAGCAAAAGGAAAGCCCTCCAAGCTGCACAAAAGAAAGCACCAGATTGGTTCTCTATTCTATGACATGAAGCAAAAGGAGATGGAGCTTGCCGAGAGGCGTTCCAAGGGATTCCTCACAAAAGCAGAGACTCAAGCAAAGTATGGATGGTGAGCATGGTACGTCGGGCATAGGATGGAATTGAACAGTGTATTTCGGTTTTGTTGTCTAATTATTTTGTTGTAAATTGTTCTTGATAATATAAACTGGAATTTAAAACTAGTCGTTGGAAGCAACCTTTTGCACCATTCGATGGGGAACTACTCTTTGCTTTGCCAAGAGAGGCATTTCTTGCAGTAGTAACTAGAAATTCTGAGATAATTTGATCACTTGCAATGACAAATTGTGCCAATTGTGCGCTCATCTATGAGGCAACCAATTAGCCTGCCGACAAAAGGGGCAAGGTCCAAGGCATCCAATGTTGCACTCATCTATGAAACAACCTGCAATCCATGCGAGAAGGACGACAAGGAGCCTCGCATTGTGGGTTCGATTTAGGGAGGAAATGTTTGTGGGTTCGATTTTGGGAGGAATTGTGGGTTCGATTGCGTGACCACGAAAGGATATCGAAAGCTCGACAACGGCTGGTTCTACCTTAGACGGACGGTATGGGCTCTGTTGGATTGCATTGCTTTCAATTTGATCTTCCCGTTGGACAGGAATTCAGCAAGTACAGCGGCCAAAACTTGAATTCTCGAAAAAAAAAGGATTTTCGTTTCAAAAGATTAAAAATAAAGTAAACCGTGATGGCTTCATCAGGTTGACAACTTGATATGACGAGAATGAACCACAACCTTGCAGGATGACAGAATATCAGTGCATGTCAATCCATGGGCTGTAGCCTGTTAGAATAACAAAAGATCAGGCCGAAAACTCTGATTGCTACAATCTTTAGCGATGGATACACAAGCAAAAAAAAGACATGAGATGAAGTCTTGCAAGCTTAAGAAAAGGCCACAAAATCACCACGTGATTAATGACATACAAACTGCATCAAAACAAAGCAGATGCAAATGTTATGCCTATAAGATGAGAAAGGCAGGGAAATACATTAAACGACCGACAAAGCTGTCATTAGAGTATATATCGAAGCAGCTGTGCTCAAATTAACTGAAAAAGTTTTTAATCACAATGCATGCACTTCCAGTTTGAAGTTGCTTATGATAAGATGCATAGGAATGTAACAATAAACTGGAAAGTTTTTTGCTGACTTTCCGTACAAAATAAACCATCAAACGAACATCATCACAACTCCAGGTAGCTCATCGGTGGAAGAACAGAAATTCTGTTAGATCGAATCAACCACAGACAAACCCCAAGTCCTGCAATACAGCATAGATAAAACAGGGCATGTAGTCAGCCTTCACATCAGTTGCAGTGGGGTTCGTATGACAACATTTAAATCATGAACATTCGAGTATGAGCTTGGAGTGGATAGAGACATTGCATAATTAAAAGGTGCATTGCAGATTGGAGTGGCTAGAGACATTGCATAATCAAAAGGTGCATTGCAGACCTTCCCTTGTGAATAACTCCTCTACAGTAGAGGCATACATTACTCCTAAATCACATTATATCAGCATGTTGGAAGTTCAACAAAACATTATATCAGTTTGACTGTTTGAGTGCCCGTTTGTTCTTCTTAAAAGAAGATCTGCCAATCATTGATCTAACCAGGTAGCAATTGAACTCATGCAACTTTGAAGAGGATTACATAAAATGCTGCAACTACGCTATTATATATTGTACTAAGGTTATTTCACAGATATATTGTACCAAGGTTATTTCACAGTATACCAAGGTTAAGTCAGAAGATGCTCGTTTCATATGGTGTGACAGCAATATGCATAATTTCAACTAATTTCATTTCAATTATGCAAAACAGACATGAACAACAAGGCCTATGCACTGACTCAAAAAATAGCTGTGACTCTCCTCCTCACTACATTTATACTACAATAAACAGCGAAGATGCATCCATTCACACAGCAAATGCTTCAATCCATACACTACACTAAAGATTATCAATAAATATGTTTGCTTCAATCCATACACTACACTAAAGATTATCAATAAATATGTTTCACCCTTTCAAGACAAGCAAACAAAGCAAAGCGTGAAATGCACAAAATTAGTAGATCTCTGCAGGACTCGATATATATTTAAAGTTGTAACTTGTTGCGGTGGAGAGGCCTGCTGATATCCAAGCAGTACTATGTCAAAGGATAAATGGATCACGACCACCAAACCAATTCAGTTGTACTAAAAACCTAATAATCAAAGTTACTCCTTAAATCTATCATTTACCTTTTCCTATAACCTATATTATCCTCACCGTGGTGGAAATGGAGCAACATACGATCCAAAAAAATTCCTAATCAAAGTTACTCCTTAAAAAACAAAAAATTCCTAATCATTTGTTTTTTCCTATGAAACAAATTTAATTCTATGAAAAACTAATTAAACTTACTCCTGAAAAGCTAGTATCACTTTTTTCCCTATAATAATCCAGATCCCTCTCCTGCACCGTGATTGAAATGCATTAAAAAAAAATCCCCAACCACTCGTGATAGATTTTAAGAATAGAAACATTTCCTCATATCTCCATAGCTAACATTTCCAATCTAACCATCCCAACGGCACCGAACGAAACAATCGGGGAAAATCCCAGATCAGATCAGGGGAGGCAAGGAGACGGGGGAACCCTCACCTGACCTCGGATCTAGTGGTGGGCGGCGCCGGCGGCGCCCTGCCTCTCGAGCTCCTCGAGGTGGGCGAGGTGGCGGCGCTCCTTGGGGAGGTTGATGAGGTAGGAGAAGGCCATGAGGCCGTAGATGACGTGGAAGAGCGGCTCCGGCGAGCTGGTCTCGATGTACTTGTCGATGTAGCGGTCGACGGCCTGGTCGCTGCTCTTCTTCACGTTCTCCCAGCTCAGCCGCGGCTTCAGGTACCCCGGCACCTCCCGCACCTTCATCCCCCGGATCTCGCTGATCAGGGCTCGCAGCGCCATGGATGGATCTCTCCGATCTCGATCTCTCCTCTTCCCCTTCCTCGCAACGTCAGGGCTCGCGGCTAGGGTTTGGTGGCTTCCGAGACGGGAGGAGGAGGAGGAAGGGTGGGTGGGTGGTCAAGGGATGGATTTGTTCGCTACGGGGTGGGGATGGGTTGGGCTGGGCTAGGCTGGGCCGACCTGGGCTTGTGTGACAGACATGTGTAGAGGCTCACTGTTTCGGAAAAGGAAAATGTATACCGAAGGTCCCTCAACTTGTCATTGAGTTATAAAATCGTCCCTCGACCTTAAAACCGGATACAACGCATCTCTCAACTTACAAATCCAGTGCAAGTTCCCTCGGTGGTTTTTGACTCCGATTTTATTCGACGTGTCAGCTGACTCAGATGGTCGGTAGGATGTCCTCCTTCCTTCAGGCGAGGAATGCATTGACCTCAAGCATAGGATGGCGAGGTCGGGCTCGGCCTCCTCCTCAGGCAGCATTGAAAATATTGCTGAAGACCGAATTTCAACGCAAAAATATCATAACCGACAAATTCGGTCTCAGTCTCGGTCTCGGTCCTAACCGAAATTTAGCAACATTTTCATTAATGAAATTTTTCGGTTCTAATATTTTTGCGTTGAAATTCGGTCTTCACCTTTCAAAAACCGAAATGACCGAAAGACCGAAGACCGAGACCACAAATTTCGGTCTAACCAAATGCCCACCCCTACTTGTCGAAGCTCTTGCTACCGGCAAGGAGAGGAGTAGGGTGCGGGGACTAGGGTTACGACGGCTGTGGGGTGGCTTCACTGATGAAGATAAAACTAGCATGTGGAGAGAGATGGGAAAGAAAGAAGATGGGAGAACGGAGGAAGAAGATGGAACTAAAATGTGGGTCCCACGTCTAGTCGTCTAGGGGTATTTTGGTCTGTATGATAACCGAAAATGTGACGGTGATGGTATGATTTTAATTTTGTGCGAATTCGAATGACATGAATACGACTAGATGAATTAAAATAAAATTTACCTGAGTGGGCATATTTCCAATCAACCCAAAAATAAAATTGCAAACACGCGGATTGCGAGCGCGCGCACGAGCTAGGAAAGGGAGGGAGTTGGGGAGCTTAGCTCGCGCGCGGCGCGGTGGATCGCATGCGCGGGCGGGCTAAAATTAGCGGGAGAGGGAGGAGTTGATCGGAAAAAGGGAGGCCGCGTCGCATTGCGTCGTCGTCGTCGTCGTTGTCGTCCGTAGCGGGAGGGAGGGAGAGAGTACGTGCGGGCGTCCGGAGGTCTCAGCGCACGCCCGCGGCCGGGCCGTCGCGCCGATCGCGATGGGGTCGTGGCGGCGCAAGGCCTACGGCGCCCTCAAGGACTCCACCAAGGTCGGCCTCGCCAAGGTCAACAGCGACTTCAAGGTCCGTCACCTTCACTACATTTTTTTTATCTCCTCCATTAATTTCTCTCCTGTTCTTGTCGACTTGTCCATGTTCTTGCAGCTTTCTTTTCCTTCCTTCCTTCCTTTCTTTCTCGTTGTTGTTGCTGCTGTTGTTGTAGGGAATTTTGTTCATATGGTCTTGCAATCTTGCTTTTTCTGTTAGCTTAGCTGCATTTGTCCATGCAAATGCTGCATTGTCTCAGGATGAAGGCAAATGCATAATTTGTATACCCTCTGTCCTAAAAATAATCAATTTCTAGAATGAATTTGGACAAACATTTATCTATATTCATCCTTTATTTCTAGAATGAATTTGGACAAACATTTATCTATATACATCCTTGTATGTTATTGGGTTTTTTTTTTTTTGACAAAGAGGGTAGTATGTTACCTGATATTTGCTGGGTTAATTGTTTCAATGGCAGGAGTTGGATATTGCAATTGTGAAGGCCACCAACCATGTAGAATGCCCTCCCAAGGACAGGCACGTTAGAAGTGAGTACTCGATCATCTTCTCCTCCATAATTTAGTTGGCTACCTTAATGCCAAAATGTATCTCTTTCAGCAGGTAATATAATCTTAGAATCCATTTTTTTTCTAATCACATTGTTGCAGAAATATTCGTGGCGACCTCCATTAACCGCCCTCGAGCGGACGTTCAATACTGCATCTATGCCTTGTCAAGGAGATTGTCCAAGACAAAGAATTGGACAGTTGGGTCTTGCTCTTACAGTCCTCTTTGATTATATTCCTTATCTCGATAATGTGCTTGTTGATGGACATTTTTTGGTTATAGGTTGCATTGAAGACATTGATAGTGGTACATAGGCTCTTGAGAGAAGGTGATCCTACATTCAAAGAAGAGTTCCTGGCCTACTCATACAAGGGAAGCGTTTTGCAGAGAGCAAACTTCAAGGACGATTCAAGCCAATTAGGTGATTCCCTATCTTGCATAGTGATCAATGCAACAGAGAGTCATGTGTATATATTTTTCCCAAATCAAACTCTAATTGGAGGATAGAAATGATGCATCAACTCACCTAGCTAGCCTTGATTTTTGCCAGCTTGGGATTGCTCTGCGTGGGTTCGCGCCTACGCGCTCTTCCTAGAAGAACGGCTCGAGTGTTTCAGGATCTTGAAATTCGACATCGAAACCGAGCGTCTGATGAGATCTCCTGAGTGTTCCAGCAAGGTTAACATTATCTTTCTCACATTATCAAAACGAAGTCCATGTAGTGAATGAGATGTTTTGCCTCATGATGATTAAACTTTCGTTAATCCTAACAAGTGCAGGCACACAGTAGAACTAGAACCCTGCCTTGCATTGAACTTCTGGAGCAGTTGCCTGCCTTGCAGCAGCTACTTTTCAGGCTAATTGGCTGCCAGGTTTCATAACCAAAATGTTTTACTAGCACATCCTTGTAAAGTTGTTGGATGTTGTCAGTAGCTTCATCCATATTTTTTTGCCATTGCAGCCTGAAGGTGCAGCAGGCACGAACTACCTTATCCAATATGCATTAGCCCTGGTAATTTAATTCGCAAGAAATCTTGCATAGGTTACTGATCCCTTTATCCAACACATTATTTGTTCTTAAATATCATATGGTGGTTTCACATGTGCTATAGGTTTTGAAGGAGAGCTTCAAGATCTACTGTGCAATCAATGATGGTATCATCAATCTTGTTGATATGGTAAAGTAATTCTTTATGATTTTTTTAAACAGTCATATGCTGTTATCGATGTTTTATATAAAAGAAGAAGGTGCCCCATTTTTAGAAGAATTCTTTACAATATCATCCTAGATAGGTTATCGCTTTCAGTGTCGCTGAATTGTAAATATAAATTTCTGGTTCTTATTGTTATGATGCAGTTCTTTGATATGCCAAAGTATGATGCTATCAAGGCTCTTGTTGTCTATAAACGAGCTGGCCAGCAGGTATATATCTCAATTTTATAATCTGGTATTTTCTTTCATGAAAATGGTTGACCCTCATGCTTGTCCAATGCACAGGCTGAAGATCTTTCTGACTTCTACGATTCCTGCAAACAACTTGAGCTTGCCAGGACATTCCAGTTTCCTACTCTAAGGCAGGTTAGTTCATCATCTTGATCTCAAAAGATTATCTTAGGTCTAAATCAGAGCAACAAGATAGCGAAACATTTTCATGAATTTGGCCACATCCCTCATGATCTTGGATTTCTAATGCTCATTCCTTGCACATTATATTCTGCAGCCACCATCATCATTCATTGCAACAATGGAAGAGTACATCCGAGAAGCACCCCGTCCCTCGATTAACAGCGTGGTGAGTGCGGTTCTTCATGAGAAACAAGTACTTAAGAACTAGTGCAATTCTATTAGTACTATTATGTTTGTGTAGTTCTTGTGTTTCTTTTGGGAAAAAAACTGTAGGAGAGGCTCCTACAGTGAATAAATATAATAATAATATAAAGTTATAAATACATGTTTATACAAGTGAAAATACTTAGAAACTGTCTAGCCATTCTGAAATTTGTGGGTGGTAGTTTTCTTTTGCCCTATGGATAACCAAGGCAAACTCTGCTCTAAACTTATCTTTGCAAACTTTGAGAAAGGGATTTAGATTTTTTTTTTCGTAATTCTTGTTGCAAAAGCAGGAGAATGGTGAGAGGAAGCTAGTGACCTACGACCAAGAAGCTACAGAGGAGTCTGAAAAACCAGCAGAAGAGGAGAAAGATGAGCCTGCAGAGTCTGAACAAGAACAAGAGCCTAAACAAGAACCAAAGCCACCAGAAACCACTGGAGATCTACTAGTACTTTTCTGCACTATTTTCTCTAATCCATTTATGTGCTAATCCAAGTGTCCACTTCCCTAAATCTTATTTCTTTGTGTCTGTTTTTGTTTTATATCTTGCAGAACTTGGATGCAGAGGTGAGTCCATTGGTTGCAGAACTGGAAGAAAACAACGCATGGGCCCTAGCAATTGTGGGAACAGGTATATTTAGCTGTATTAATCTCAAATAACAAAACATTGGCCACTTAAATTTAGCTGTAAATTTGCGGACTTGCTGCCAAAGTTTAAATGAGCCAAAAAAGAAGTCATCAATGTTTTTTTTGTGTGTTTTTTTGGTCTTTTGCTTGCAGGTGATCAAACTAAGGCATCAACTTCCCTGGACTTGTTTTCTGGCAACACATCTGGGTGGGAGCTTGCACTGGTCACTGCTCCAAGCAGCACCAGCCAAACAGTTCAAACCAAATTGGTTTGCACAAATCTTTACTCCACCTGCTGCTAGCTTCATACTTCATCCGTCCCATAATATAAGAGATTTTTAGTTTTTTCTTACAATGTTTGACCACTCGTTTTATTCAAAAAAAAATTTGTGCAAATATAAAAAACGAAAAGTTGTGTTTAAAGTACTTTAGATAATAAAGTAAGTCAAAAAAAATAAATAATAATTCCTAAATTTTTTAAATAAGACGAGTGATCAAACAGTACAAGCAAAAATGCAAAATCCTTTATATTATGGGACGGAGGAAGTATAACATTTGCTCTGTTGCTCATTTCTAAAACTTCTGAAAAACGACCAAAAAAAATTACAAACTTGCATCTGATCTGATCCAACAGGCTGGAGGCTTTGACAAGCTGCTACTCGACAGCCTCTACGAAGACGAGACGAGGCGGCGGCAGATCGCCGGAGTCACCTACACCGGTAGCATTGGAGGAGGAGCACCCAACCCTTTCGACACCAACGATCCATTTGCTACGTCGAGCAGCTTCTTGCCCCCATCCAATGTCCAGTTTGCAATGCTGAACCAGCAGCAGCATCAGTACTACCAGTCTCAACACCAGCAACAATACTACCAGCCTCATCATTTCCAGGATCATCAACATCACCATAACATGTATTTTCAGACACATTATCAACAAAATCAGATATACCAACAACAGCAGCAGCAGCAGCATCAGTACCCTGCACCTCAGGCTGGATCTTCCAATCCGTTTGGTGACCCTTTCGGTGACCTCGTACCAATGGCAATGGCTGTCTCTCAAAAACATGGACATTCAAGTTTGATATGAATTTGCCATATTCATGTTGTTAATGATCCCAGGCAATTTTAACATAGATGGGTTAACTTAGTCACCTTCTCACTTGACTTGAGTAGAGCATCTTGTACAACTTGATCTTCTTCGTGCTAACTTGAGAATTATGATGCTGTATTTGCCATCTCGCTCTCTTGCAATATCCACATTTACTCGAACCATTGTAGATTTGTGATGCTAATCTAGTGTTGATCCCAAATACAATGGTATAACCTGAATAATAACACCGGTATAATCCCAACAAATTCTACTATTAAAATTTGCTGCTCTATTAAAAATATATTAGAGTGAACTGCATCCTTATATGTGCATTAGGTTACGCCAAAATCCAAGGCAAATCCAAATGCATTAGGTTGGCATCCGCATCTGACAGGCAATACAGATACTACATGGCAAATCTTGATGCGACAAACCATCCATTCCCAATAGCATTTCGATATCAAGAATAATAATCAGAATGATATGCGGCACAAAAATATTTGACATAAACCTACATGATCATGTAATTCAATCAAAACTCATGAATAGCCACCACAGATCTTAGTAGCCATACCATCAATTTGTTCCATAACACAAAAAACAGCAGCAACAGCACAAAAGTAGTCTTTCTTTGCTTTGTCTTCCAACACAACAAGAGATAAAAAAAGAAGCTAACACTTTAGATAGATAGCAAGAAGCCAAGAACCCTAGCTCCCGAGTACCTAGGCGGTGAGGAGGACGGCGCCGCCGGCGGCCTTGATCTTCTTCTCGGCGACCTTGGAGATGAGCTTGGCCTTGACGACGATGGGCCTCTCTGGGGGGAGCATCCCCTTGCCGAGCACCTTGGTGTAGCCGAACTGCGTGACGTCGATGACGGGGGCCTTGCCGGCGCCGGCGCCGGCCTCGGCGGGCACCATGGACCAGAGGCGCTCGACGTTGACGGCGGGGCAGTGGAACCTGTTGCTGAGCCTGTGGAAGTAGCGCATCCCGACCTTGCCGAAGTAGCCCGGGTGGTACTTGTCGAACAGGATGCGGTGGTGGTGCATCCCGCCGGCGTTCCCGCGCCCTCCCGGGTGCTTCCGGTGCTTCCCGATCCGCCCGTGCCCGGCCGACACGTGCCCGCGCTTCTTCCGGTTCTTCTTGAACCTCGTCGTCATGGCGGCGGCGAAGGGCGGCGACGGCGGCGGCGGGTGGGTGGGGAGGAAGAAGGGGGAGGTGGGAGAGTGAGTGGGGTGTTTATAGTGTTCGGTGAAGGGGTATCGGCCGTTGGATCGTGAGGAGGGGTGATCTTGACCGTTGGATGGATGCGGGAGGGGCTCGATTAGGGTTTTTGAGGGTGAGGTGGGCTGGGCCCTCCCTCTCGCTTTGTGCTCACTTGAGATGGGCTGTTGAAATGGGCTAGTAAAGGAGCTTTTAAATAAATTCGGAGTGATAAAGAAATAAACCATTTGATCTACTTAGTTATTATTATCGATTGGAGTTTTAAAACATCAAGATTTAATCACATCGTTTTTTTTAAAACTCAGGTAATTTATTAGATCAAAGAACAATTACATCGCTCACTAGCCACTTTACATGCCTCATTGTTTGCCTTATGGCTTATAAGCCAAAGCCAAAATTTGAATAGTAAAACTTGATTTTGATGGTTTTTCAACATAGTATTTTTTTTTTAGATTTGGCATTTCAATCACTAAGAACATATATATAAAATTTTACTCATATATCATTTTCTTAAATTGCTAATAAATCGTTATGGTTTATAATAAGGACCGTAACAATTAAAGCCGATGGCTTCTCCTGCCATAGCAGATCAAGCCATGGCCATGCTACTCTAGCCTCCCCTAGGGTAGTGAACAAGAGTTACCAATGTAAAAGCTTCAGAAATAACCACACATTTAAGCCCGCAGCTGCTGTCCCCGAAAACCCTCCCCGAAAACCCTCCATTTAATCACATCGTTTGTAAAATGTTTGTAAAAGAAAGTTTGTACTTATAATAAACCACATGCATGCCCTTGGCTACATGCTTATGCAGCAACAAGACATACCCTTTCTACGAGTTACTGATTTACATTCAGAAATTCAGATGCGCGTGTATTTTCACTTCAGAGCTGAATAACATGAAAACGATGCATATGCTGAAAATAAAAATCAGATGTATTCGAATAATTTTCTGCCATTTTCAACTAATTAGTATTTACACGTACGTTGATTAAATTGGTGAGTTTACGGTGTAGAACACTGTACTTCCCAGCAGAAACGAAGAGAAAATGATGCACATCAGAAACGGAGTATGTGTAAACAAAACTCAAGAGGGCAGATTAACTGTAAGGTTGTGCTGGTGTCATAATAATCTCTTCATGTCTACAAAGAATGGATCATATAATAACAGTTCCAATCTGACAAAAACGCCTATTCCTCAACAGATGGGAGGAGCTAGGAAACTAGAAAGAAAAGAGAGAAAATGTGGGCGTGAAGAGCAGCTCATAGCAACATACAAAAAAGCACAACATGTTACAATGAGGGCTGTATCAAAACTAAATAAATATCGCCTCAGCCCTACCTAGGGACTCAGAATTTGCAAGACATCGCCATTGCCGCAGCAACGTTGATATGTCTCTGGCCCTGAATCTGTGTTACGCAGCTAAATATCAATTTCACAATTTACATAAAATAGAAGAAGAAATAAATCCTAGGGAATTCCTAGGCCAAAAGCAAAGAATCGTGTAGAGCTCAAGTGGACGTGTAGCTGGAGTGCTTCAGTAGGTTGTTGAGAGCTTCTGGGTAAAACTTTCTAGCAAAAAGGTAGCATGGTCTCTTTGTTCCGTTCCACATACAGGGTGTCATTGTCACAACTTTCTGCGATAGTGATAAATGTACATATCAATATTACATGTAGGAGCTACATTTCTATGTTTTAGTTAAATTCCTTGACTGCGTTGCATGCAGACACTCAAAAGCAAATATCTTCAGGTGTTTGCAGACAAGTGCACAAACACAGTAATCATCACCAAAATCCTAGTAATGGTATATTTGTTTTTGTGCTTGAGTGAAAAAGAAGATTTGCTATATTACCTTATCATCACTTGTAATACGGAAGTTCTCTTTGATAGCCTACACAACAGTAAAGTACATTGGTAAGTGTCCACACATAGAGGACATGTCAATTGGCAAAGGGCCGAAAGCATGTGTCCATTTACCGATGTAGAGCATACCGTTATGTTCTTCAAGAGTGCATAGGTAACATCAATAGCTCTATACGACCTTGGATGCCATTTTCCTTCAGACCAATCAACATGTGTCACTGACCAATTAGAGATTCCACCAGGATCTACCATCTGAAGATGAAAGTGAAAGCATATGAAAGAAAAGCAAGGGACCAAGAAGAAAGCTAAATATCAATTCAAAATATTATTTACTGACATTGAAGAGGGTTGGCAAATAATGCTCATCAGCAATACAGTTGCGTCCCTCTGCTGGCTGCAGAACACAAAAAAGCAGAAAAAAATTGGTGTATTAAATAACATTATGTATATATACATTATTTCAACGATATGAAACACGTGCTTCACGATTTTTTTTTCTTGACGAGTTAACACCCTTTTGATTTCCTGTAGCATATGGCTAAAGCAGTTAAAACTTAGAACCAAGTGGCACAAGTCTTAAATTCAGTTCATCTCCAAATTATCATCTCTACTAAAGCTTTACAATTGCCAATAGCAGTTCCAAATTTCATATCTCAACTAACATCCTAGCTTTGATCTTCATTCTGACAGTATCACCAGGGTATCATTTTCCCTCTTTGGGATAAATCCTGGTACCCTGGTACCTACTGTGATGCCTGTTACTGGCTGGTTCCCAATGAACACCATGAAGATGCATTTATTTTCATTTATCTACTAGATACACTATAGTAATAGGATTTGTGTTTAGATGCTACCAAAATAACTTAGTAATCACTGTACACGTGAAATGAACTATAGCATGATGGGCATCAACAATTAACAATCAATGAAGGAGGAACATACCTTGCAATACAGCTCGAACTTATTGTAGTAAAGGTGGTCTGCTAAAATCAGTAAAGCATGCCTTCGTGTTACAGCAAACCACTACAACACATACGAAAACCAACTTAGAAAAGCATAAAAAGATGGAAGTGATATATCATCATTCTCACAAACAAATGTCCTAGTTTCTGAAGATGTTGACTTAAAAGAATGCCTCTAAACCAAGAATATATGAAGCGCCTAACAAACTTTGGGGTAGTAAACATTCTGAAGAATAATAAAGTAGTAATGTAAAAATATGAACCTGGGCACCCTTCCTGAAGTCCCTCTGTTCTATTTCAGGGAGCATTTCCACAGAATACCTTCCGCTTCCATGTGGTCCAGGATCAAGGAAGCTGATAGAGTGAAAAAACACAATGAAAAACGCACACAAACATGTGTGACTAGGGGAGATAGAAAATTGTGCGGTGATCATAGCTCTGTGTTAATGCATTCCATTCTTTAAGTCAAAACACACCAACGTTTTCTACACCATTCTTGTGATGTAACAAGGGTATTCCTTTGTAAAGAAATATAAGCCAAAAGATTGATCTAGAATAAAATGCATGATGAAATATTCCTGATTTTCATATTCCCAGTTATTCTCTAGGTCACAGATGAAATTAAAGTAGAAATGTTATAATCAATATACCAAAGAACTTTTTTAAAGCAGAATTACATGCTCTGAAAGTAGCTATTTCCTGCACTTGTATGTACTATATTTTCCTCTTGTCAAATGGATCAAAATATGAGTTCAGCGCTCTTACCAATCAATGAAGCTGACGTTTGTTCCCATCAAAAAATTATATATGTAATCAAATGTATGTAGTGGAACACAGCTGTCAAACAAATAAAAAGGATCTTAACAAAGTGCAACAAAAACATTTTCTTTTTGCAGGCAAAGTTTTTTAAAAACAAAACCTGTCCGATAGCAAGACGAAAAATTGATTATCAACATCTTCCAATGCATTTGCTAGCAGCCTCTTCTCCGCATCAACCATTGAAATCCTCCCCCATACAACCTGCACATACAAAGACAATGCAATGCTTTAGTTCTGCAAAACAAATTATAAAATACTATGTTGGATGTAAAAGAAATCACAGGAATCACTGATAGCAAAAATTTCAAAAGACAAATCACAGTCCTTTTGCTTATTTGCTGCAAAATGTACTACTAAAAAGTAAGAACTTCTTAGGAGAACCAACATGGAATTTCCTAAACACAGGAAGTACAAGCCAGATTAAAAAAAAAAGTGAACTAAGCCTAGCTCATCTGATGGGTGTGGGTTGTGTACACTACCACCACCTAGGCTCAAATCTTCTTCTTTTTGAATTTAGATATTTCTTTTTCTTTATTTTAACAACATAGAGTTTCTTTGTTAAAAGCTTGCCTTATATGCAGGTCATTGGTTGCAAATGTAATCTCACTTATAGTCATCGAAAACTAATCCAAGCAATAACACAATTTTCTTCTTTCTTAGTATAAACAAAAGGAACAGTTGTCAATGCATAACAACATTTCTTATTGTTCATAACACCTTGCTAAGCAGATGAGTTAAGATAAAGCAAGAAAAGAAACAAACAAGTACACAGTGTGGGGGTGAACATTAGTACCTTTTCACTATGAATCTCTCGGCCAACAAACAAAGAACTAGAATGTACAGGTCTTTCACGCGATGCATGGATATAAATGGAATATCGATCCTCATGACCCTGCACACAGAAGTTCAAGCAAATAAATTTTACAAACTAGATGTTGATGCATCTATACATAGTACAAACTCCATCCTCATTACAGAAAGAAGCACATGATGGGTATATCTGCGCCACACCTGTAGAAATTTCTCCCATAGTTTCTCAAAGGGCAATGAACCTGGTGTTAAGAACATCAAGGCAATCTTTGGATTCTTCGAGACAGGCATGGGCATTGCAAGGAGATCCCTCATAACAACAGACGAGACGATCTCTTCGTCTGTTCGCTCCCGTCGGGTCACAGTAGGGAGCCAATCCTTGAAAGGAGTGCAGACGCTCGAAGCGAAGAAGTAGCACGCGGAGTAGCGGCGCGGAGGGTACGCGTAGGCCCCGATGAGCGCGACGCACACCAGCGACAGCAGCACGATTATCCACATGGGCTTCTTGGCGGCGCCTCGTTGGCGCGGAGGGGGCATGGCTGTCATGTCCTTGCTGCCCCGTTGCCACACCTGCGATGCCTTCATCTCCTCGCCATCGACAAAATCATAAACAAAGCCTTGCGAAAACTACATGCCACTCCAGACAGGGGCGGTGGCACTAACTACACCACCAAGGTTTCCAACCTCTTCTGCAAATGCAAGGTTATTCATTGTATTAATCCACCAATCACACTCAACAAAGTATTAATCCACAAATCACACTCTAAGTGTCATAATACAATTAGCTGTGAATACCGGCGCAAGGAGCCGGACCTAACGTGGGGAATATAGGGTTGAGCAGAACCCTCGTCGAATCAATATTGGAAACAAACTGCTATCAATAATACTAAACCATCACGTATCATCAAATTAATAAAATAAATCCGGGGTAAACTGATTGGAAAAGGAAGGAAATCAATCCCAACTCCCGATGGATCTCACAATCTACGCCGCGGTGCTCATCAAGCGCCGCCGTAAGAGCAGCGAGAGCTCGAGCGATACCTTTGAATTCGATCCGAGCCGAAGCCGACACGGAGGCCGCGTCCACCCCCTCGAAACCCCCCGCCCGCAGCCAGGGGAGGCGGGGGCTCGGAGAGGAGGAGGAGGAGGTCGAACTCGCCGCGCGCACGAGGCGAGGCGAGAGGAGAAGAGCAGCCGCGGCGGCGGCGAGGCAGATCGGAGAGAGAGAGAGGAGGAGGAGGAGAGGTGGTGGGGTTGGGATCCTCTCTCTTCTTCTTCTCCTCTTGGTCAGATCATCTGATGTGCTATAGTAGTGTATACATTTTTTTTATTGACTGCCCAGATATTCTTTCACATGGCAATATTGATCCATTGTGTTTGTGCACAAAACAACATAGGAGAATGTGGTTATTGCAGGGATTTTTATGATTTGACATTCCACTCTCCCTTGTACGTAGTAGTAGTTGAAGATGAAATCTAGCATTTGTTGTTTATAATAACACGCGACCAAAACCCACGTCATACGCATATGAAAGGATTAATTAATGGTAGAACGGATTGGCAAATCCTCGGAGTTTTTGGTTTATCGAAGTGTTATCTCTCTATATATCTAATTGAATACTTTGTGCGGGTAAAGTACATCATGTATTAATTGCCCAAATTTTATGTACACATTGTACCGCGGATAAATATTGTGAACAAACGAGGCATTGCGGGAATATTTCACTCTACCATGAACTAGTTACTATTAAATGCAGTTTTGCCAAATTTGCCTCTCTTTTTTTATTCTATGTGTCTCCAATAGTGGATAACATTTTTATGCTCAAATTGTCCTCAATAAATGATAATGCTAGGCTCATTGTTTTTGCCCTTAGAATATTTCACAGACTTGTCGTGCCCCCACGAAGCTGCGGTTATTGACCTCTGTTTTGGACTGTTCAATTTCAGGCATATGCATGCCTTGCCGTGGACGATGGATCATCGTATGATTTGAAACACTACACCGGATGTTAACTTAGAACTTAATTAATAGAGAAACCAACTCTAATATACTCATGCTCAAAGTGTCAAAAGTCAAAACAACACTCGTTTTATCGCTAATCTGTAGGAGTTGTACACGTCAGAAACAACATTGTTTTGTTCTGTTTTGGAAATAGAATATAACCAACAAAGAAAAGGGAGAATTTTAGGTTGAAATAAATAAAGTATATTGCAAAAGGAGAATCCAGCCAAACAAGTAGGAGTTTAGGAGAAGACAACATTGACAAATTTAAAACTCTGCACACACTTACAACAGGGATCACAATGTAATAATATATTAAAATATTATAAGGTTGATCCGTTGATTTGAGTTGGACATTATTGATTGGCCCCAAATGTTAATAAAGCTTGGAATTTCTGTGGAAACCATTCACATGGATCGAGTCAAATAAGTACAGGCTGCTGCGTTCCAGACAAGAAACACAGTAATATGCCAATGTGCACTGTATCTGTACTGGACATAGCTTTGTCTAGCCACTCTCCAGCTTCAGCATCTTCCAGTTCCAGCATAGTGCAAAAGGGATTCAATAATGGCAATAAAACAGCAAAAATTAGCATGATTTTGATTGTTTTGCGAGTCAGCATCAATATTTATTAGCGTGGATTGGCTTAATCTGCCTACCACATGAGTTTTGTGTTAATAACCTGGCTGCGTAATTCCAGCCTTCCAATTTGACATACAGAAACAAAGGTCTAAATGCATTTAGTTGGTGTGACTAACTCATACTTCTGGCCTATAAGTTTCAATCGTACAATAAAGAAAAAAAGAGTACTCAAAAAGTTAATTACATATCTCTTACCTGCTCATCGTACCACATCATAAACTGCCACAGCCAGATACCTAAAACTAAGCAACATTTGCTTTTCAACGAACAAATAAAGATGAATGACCTTCAACGAAGACTTTTAAACAGATGGACATCGTATTTATTCGACTATAAACATGCCCATGTTTATTACAATGATGTGAATGAAGATGATAAATAAATGATACATAGAGTAGAAATAATGGCGTGTCCATCGAGCACTTGGGATCAAAACCTGACAAAACGACGACGGCGCGTATAGTTGCAGGAAAATTTCTACATGATCTCGACCTAGAGCCTCGGTAGCAGCAAATGGAATGCTTCCATGTTTTTTTTATAGAACATTTGGTGATATATCCTTATTGTTTACACAGAATCTACAATAATTATTCACCGTGCTTCGTCTTCTAGATTGCGGAACCCGGCGGTAAGGTCATCGTACAGCTTCTGAAATTTCGCAATCAAAACTTCTTTGCCCTCTGCGGGATCCTCGAATTTTTGCGACCTGTGACAAGCAACAAATACCATTGGTCATATTGCAATCTACACAGCGAGTGTTAGAAACTTGAAAATAGGGTAGAAATGCGTACACTAGGCGGTAGAATAGATCGCCCATGCGATGCTTTATGACACTGTATGTAATCTTCTGTCCATCAGCACCAGCTGCCCGCTCCACCGCCTATAAAACAATAAAAGCATACAGATTATTAAAATAGTACTTATGCTACTTTTGTATGGGAATATCCTATTTGTAATTATATTGAGTAATGAGTAAACAATGAGTAACTTATATGACATACAACAAACAGTGCCTCTAATCAGTTCAGTTGTCTTCAATTAGCTCCACTCATTCACCTTTCAATGTAAATGATACCTTAAGTGTTGAAGTTCCATGCTGATGCCCATGCTAGGATTCAATTATTTAAATTCAAGTGACAAATCGATCCAGAGCCTATCTATGCCAGTAATCCAAAACCTAGAACTCCGTATATAAATCCAACTCATACTACTATCTTTTTGTTCCAGAAATCAGAAATTCTAGATCAAACAGGAACCAGTGTCTCAGTTTCACGCCACTCTATGATCTTGGGATTTGGGGCCTCTAGGTGACCCAGATTGATTTAAATATAAGCTCACGAGCATCAGTGACAGCTGATAGAACACAATTATTGGAAAGTTTTGGCATGATTTTCTAGTCAGCTAGGATTGGTTTTCTAAAGAAAATTGGCAAATTATCGAATTCCTGGAACAAGAGAATTTACCTGGGTTGCCAATGTGTTGAAATGAATAATGTTGCGCATCATCCAAACAGATTTGTAGAATGGGCAATACTTATCATATCTGTTTCATGCAACAGAATTGATCAATTAGTTAATATGGATTATGACACAGGTTAGTAGAACTATCAAATGGGTTTAACACTCACGGGGTGAATGCATTTTGTGCCAAATAATCTTCTCTCAGAAGTTTTGCTGTCTCCAGTGTAATCTTGTCAGATTCTGCCAGTGCGTCTTTACCAACAAGCTGAATGTGGGGTAGAGTCAACAATAAATATCACACAAAGAACAACAAAAGCTCAAATCTTACTTATGCCACAGCTTGTTTAAAAATAACGTACGTACTAAGGTCAAGTTTATTATCATTTTCAAAATATTAGCAGGACCATTAAGTGAACAAATGCCAAGAAACTGGTACAAAGCACTTATGGTAGGCAAGTAATATGTGCGAACACTTCTGATAGGATGTTACATTTGCATGATGCAGATTAATAAGAAGCATTACAGCCAGGAGGGATACGACAGTATGAGAAAAGGTAACTTCAATAAGACAGGTCAAACCATCGTGGAATTCCAGGAGAGTAAATATTCACAAGGCTCAAAATAGTACCTGCACTATTTCATTTAAATCATCTTCCCTCTGCAACACCTCACGTGCCTTTGTTCTAATATCAATGAAATCTGGATCTTCCCTCTCATAGTGCGGCTCAAGCGCCTGCAACACAAAACATTGTATTGTCACATAACATCAAAGCAAATGCGAACGAACAGGAAAATGTTCAAATATAAACTTATTAGCATTTCATTGAAAAAAATGAGTTAGAAGACCAAAAACAATTAGAACAAATTATAACCATAGAAACTCGTATAGTTCTGTTATTCTAGAGACCTGTTGTCTACTTCCTCTGGCCACTCAACTCCTTCCTATTCTCTCCGTTTTATATTTTGTCGCTTTGACATTTTTCCTAGTCAAATTTCTTTACATTTGACCAAGTTTATAGAAAAAATTAGCAACATTTACAAGTTACAACATCAAATTAGTTTAATCAAATGTAACATTGAATATATTTTGATACTATGTTTGTTTTGTGTTGAAAATGTTGCTATATTTTTCTACAAACTTTTAAGTTTGACTAGAAAAAAGTAAAAACAACTTATAGTGAACTCTTTCATGTTTGCCCTTGTCAAATAAAATAAGTGCTACAGCTCTCACAAATAAATGTTCCATTTTTTCAATAGTATAAAACTATAAATGAATGGCAACAAAAAAAATTACTTTATTTTCTTCCCCTTAATGAAATGAAACGCAATTCTCTTGCATTTTCATGAAAATAAATGAATGGCAACAAATTCATTTTAGTACTTTCTTAATCTTTGTGCACAAGTCTAAATCAACTTACAGTTGGAATCTGAGGGGAGAATAAACTATTTAAGCAAGTTGCTTGTCAGAACAAACCTTAGAATATTTCGAATAAGATATGAGCCAATTCACTGATGGGAAATGCTTCCTCTGGGCAAGCTTTTTATCTAATCCCCAGAAGACCTACAAACAAGAACATGTGGTTTAACAACACTGAAACGATAAACATTATTAATCATGACAGACTTAGCTGCTTCCTTACCTGAACAATACTAAGGGTTGCAGAGGTAACAGGATCTGAAAAATCACCACCAGGTGGAGAGACAGCCCCTACAATTGTAACACTTCCGTCCCGTTTTGGACTTCCAAGACACCTTACTTTACCAGCACGTTCATAGAAAGATGCCAGTCTTGCAGCCAAATAAGCAGGGTAACCACTATCTGCAGGCATTTCAGCCTGGATAACAAAAATGTGGCATTGCCCATTAGAATATTAACATAAAATAGATATTCAAAAAATCAACACGAATGAGTTATAACAATCTTAACTTTTAAGTATTCTATTTCCAAAGGCTATATTAGCAGTTAGCAATTTTTAGCCATACATGGTAATATTGCAGTAAATGATGTAAATTGATTCTATAACTACTTTAGTGTAAATAGGCTATCATAACTACTAGTGAAAACACAATGAAAGAATAACTGCTAGTGTAAATATGTCGGCACACCGTTTAAGAAATCGGAAGCTGATTGTCTTTCCAATGAGAATAGGACAGAGCTTTGTGCAAGTTAAAGTACACTAGGATGAGAAATAC